ACACTTTTATTGCTTAGAATTTTGGCATTGACTTGGAAATGAGTGATTTGAAAAATATACCCAGATGTATTTATTAGACCTGGCCTTCATCCAATTTTTTGAAGTTGAATGTGGATTGTATCAAGAAGGATTCTTTACTTGTGCTGGTGTGCTTAGGGATCATCATGGTAACTATTTTTTTTCGTTTTGTGGGGCCTGCTATTGCGGATAAGAACTTTGTCACTACCTATGTTATCTACTATGGTTTTAATATTTGTTATAAGCTTAATAGGTTTGATGTGGTGGTTGAGGTGGCTTCTCATTTTGCTTTTAAGTCTCTGGATTTTAAGGAAGACAAAAGCTGTGTGTTTTCCCTCTTTTATCTTACGCGTGATATTACTAATTTAAGGAGGAAGTTGAACTATTCTTTTTCAATGATTGAGGCTAAGGGTAATGTTGTTGCCCATGCTTTGGCCATGTGGGGTAGGAATTTGGATATTATGACTAACATATCTATATTTCTTTTACCTAGTTATGTTAAGGTCTTTTGAGATTGGATAAAGCTAATGTCCCTTATGTTAAATCTTAGTTTGTTTATGGTGGGTTTTCTGGTGATTGTTTCGGTGTTTTCATTTTCTTTGCTGGTTGCGTGTTCTTCTGCTTCTTATTTGCCTTCATTTCATACTATTATGTCTTCATTTTTTTGGTTGGACTTCTTACAGCTTGAGGTTGTGACCTTTGGGTTTGAGGATTGTTTGATTATCTGGAGGAGGAATGGTTGGCAGATGGTTGTTTTGCTTCATGCTATTTACATGATTGAGTTCTATAAAATTGCTTTTGTTTTTCTCCTTTTATTACTCATGTGGTATCAGATTATTGGTGGTTGGGGTTTTTGGGTGGTTGTTTTGGCTGGGGATGTTTTTGGTTTATGCTGTAATCTCCTCTATTTGGTGGATGGCACTACTCTGTTCTGGCTGGATAACGGGTTTGGGGATCATTGGATTTTCCTTTTTGGTGGTGACTATTTGAATCTCATTCTTTTTGGGAGAAGGGGTTTTTTGAATGTTGTTACCTTTTTTTTGTTCGTTCCTTTTTGGCAACCGTTGGATTGGTTGGGTGTTCGCCAGGTTGGTATTAGTTATTGGTCAACATACTATTATTATAACAAAGTTAACAGGTGGTATCTCTGGGTTTACTATTTTTTCTATTATAGTTTCTGTTTTTGCTTTTTATTGTGGTCCTTGCAGGAATTTTTTTGCAGGTTCTGAGGAGGATGGGTTTTTTGCTGGGGAGCAAAGTATTCAAGATCGTTTTATTTTTTCCTCCCTTTTTTGGGTGCTTGTTCTTAAGCACCGTAGAATGCACCTAAGTGTTATTGTATTTTTGTGTAGTAAGGACCTTGTGCTCTTAGGATTTTTGGTTTTTTATATTGTAGCTCTTTGGGGCATTAGTGAGCATGAGGACCTTTTAAGGACTTTGTAATATTTTCCTTTAATTAACATGTAGGCCCCTCTGTGGGTTTCCCCTAAAAAAATTATAAAAAAAAAAAGAAAGGATGAGCCACATCATCATTTTGCTATGTACCATGGTGCATCTTGATTTACTTTCAGACGCTCTAGGGATCGCACATGTATATATTTTCTATTCTTTCTAGATGACTTTTTAAATGTTTTACAATCTGCTTCTTAGAATTTGCTAAATTGTCTCATCTTGACTGGGCTTCTAGCTTAAGTGAGTATAATCTTCAAAATTTAATTAATTAGTCTACTATACGAAGCATTTTAATCATGCAGAAAATCATAGATTTATACATAGAAAATTTGCTACTCATGCATCTAAGGCTTTGTTTGGGGGCGGCTTTTAACAAAAATTTCTAATTCAAAAAAACTATGTACTTCGTTTGGGATAGCTTTCTTATTGTTTCTTAAAGTAGTTTTCTAGTAAAAAAATTTAATTTTATGCTAGAAAGCTGTTTTAAAAAGTAATAAGAAAGTCGTCCCAAACAAAACCTAAGTCCCACGAAACAATTGGGTAATATTTCAGTTATTGTCCACCTTTTTTTTAATGTACAAGTTCAACAACTTACTGGTATGGAACTAGTATAAAAGTTTTCAGTAAATGTATTGATAGTTTTACTAGCTTATCGAAACCTAAGTATGAAGCATAATCAGTTTCTAGCTTTACTATTACTAAGGACAGTATTTGGTGAACTTTGGCATTATTTGTGATAGTCTTATTAACTTGGTTGCTTACTTCCTATTTTGTTTTCTTCATAGCTTATAGGTTGCTCTCAAATTCGAGCATAGGAACAACATGGGCTGTACTTATGGTCCTCCTTACGAGTGGCAGGTTTGTAGGTGTTCTTTTACATTCTTTAATTGAATTCGGTATTATATTATTGATTACTTTGTGTAATGATGACTTGATCTTTTATGATTGCATTTTGTGCTAAACTTCATTATATGTTATTGTTGATGTTTTTCTTCTTCGCATGAAAAATATTTATGAACCTTGTATCATGTTTCCTTGATAACTTTTGCTTTCTTAAAAGAATTTTTTAATTAATTGTGAAAATGTTATGCTTCATTATTTTTTATTATGTTTAATTTTCTATCACATATTACGAATGATTGCATCATTATTAGGTTAATGTTTTTTTAATAAAATTAGTATGTATGATATCATTTGGTTCAACACTTAGTATTGGATATCATTTGGTTCAACACCGGTTAGACCCCGATCGATCCATCAAAATGTGAATCACTCGTTCTTCCGGTTCAATGTCCGATCTGATTTTTCACAATCTTGAATAATTGCATATGATATGTACATGATATATGTTATTACAAAATATATTATACGAATGATGTGATATACATAAGAACAAATACTATGAATGAAATGATATGCTTGATCAGAGAGATGATATTGGTATTAATAATTCATAAGACTAATGGCTGATAAGAGATAGACCGATGAGTATGAAATGATGAATGATTTAATAAGACCGATGATTGACATGATCGACTATATATGATGAAAATAATAGATAAGACAGATGATAGATGATGAATATGATAGATTATAGATATGATCGATGATAAATACAATAAATATATGACATATAAGACAAATGATAGATATGACCGATGACATATAAGGTCGATGATAGATTAGATAATGATTGATGAATGATAAGATTGATGACACATGATGTATGAAAATGACATACGATGATTGATTGACAAATGATATTGATTGATTGATTAATGAGGCATTGTTCATATGATTATGATTTCATGTATAATATTTTTCTTTTATGTATTGATTTCAGTTATAGATACTCGACTATGTGCTCATTATGTAATTTGTCATGTTTTTAATTAAGGATCGGGAATATGTGGTGTGAGGTTGAGCTGGTTGTAGGCTTAAGTTTTCTTTTTGCATATGGTTGCCTTTCTCTCTCTCTCTCTCTCTCTCTCTCTCTCTCTCTCTTTCTTTTTTTTTTAGTCATAATGTATTTGTAGTGATGGATTATTGTTGATTGCATATCATAGCTATTGTATATGTTATTTTGGGTTTGGATCAATGTGTAAATATTGGATGCATTTATATTTTATGTTGTATATATTAATGAAACATAATTAGTAAGCTCTAGTTGTTAATTGCAAATATAAAAAAATACAATTCTTTCAAATTTAGATTCTAAGGCATTATAGTTAGGCTAACTAGGATAAGATTTAAGCTTTATAGTTTGGTCATTGAATGTAGGATTTGAACTCAGATTTCTTAGAAGGTAGAGGTAAAATTTATCAAGTCCTCAGACCAACTTAATGATGAATGAGTTGAAATAATTTGGAGCAAACTTCCTACTTCCCTCACTTCCACATGCAACTTTACTTTCCTCGAGGAAAAGATCTCCATACTACAAATTCCTTAGTTAAAATGAGAGTTGGGGAAGGTGTTGTAACTGTTGACCTCGTTTTTGTCTTGATTAGCCCTCGAGTGCGTTTGATTGAGTTGATTGAGCCTCGTCGAGCCCGATTCGTTTCGAATCGACGTTAATTTGAGTTTGATTTTATCTTATCTTATTTTAGTGAATTAATTTTGGTCGAGTCGAGGCGAGCTCGAGTTGACCCGGATCGAACCATACTTGACTCAATTTTATAGATATTATTATCCATCGAGGTTGGTAGGTGAAAGCCGCTATCCTCCATGGCTAATCGTATCTATAACTCCATCTGCTCTTCCATCAGCCTGCTTGTGCTGAGTGCAAAGGTTTACGACCATTTTGTCCTACGGGATAGTGTGATCGTACTCTTTGCATTCGAACCCCATGAGCAGAATCCTTTCGGAGACCCACAGTAACAAGCTTTCAAGTGGTTGATCTGAAATGCAACCTCATGTGATCTTCTAGATCTCAAGCATTTTACATATCTTGCTAGTATTATTAACCATACTACAAGGCCTATTCTCAAGAGAGTGATATGGTCATTTGAATCTAGCTGGATTGAATAGATTTACTGCTTCAGCTCTAAAGACAAACACAAGTTTTTACCTATCATTTTTTTATAATGTTCTCTAGTAGGATTTGAGAATGGTTGGTAAATATTTGGTCTGAGATTCCTTTTTATTGTTTCCACTTAAATCAATGAAATTTTTGTGATTATGCCCATTAAAACTTTATTATGCCTCAATTATTTCCTTCATCAATGCATTAATTTGAACCCACTTAGTTGATTAGAACTAATTGGAAGCACCTTAGTCCATAATTACTCATGGAAAACTAGGTATTATAGTAAGTACTATAGGTAAACATAAATAGTTTTGGTTTCCCATGCATCATTGTACCATCCTTTCTTTACAGGAATAAAATTAAATTAGTATACTTGCACTAACTGCTTAACGAATTTATTCCAAATAACTACTCATGTAGTAACCTTGCTTAACATGTATGAAATGCTTTGTGAGGGGCTAATTGGAATATAAGGCACATTAATAAAGAGGAATCTAAATACAGCTTTAGGAAGCAAATATACCTTTAAATTTTATTATCTGAACCCAATTATATATAAATACATCTTTGAGAAAATCACAGAATTTTATATAAGCATTGATATCAGCATCTATGAAGGATCCATTCATTTCTTTCCTTCAAATAGTAGAGGTTACTATGACCATCAGCTTTTATTACACCTCTTCTCTCTCAATAAAATAAAAATAAAAATAGTAGCTCCTTATTTCTTCTACAACTTCTCAGGAACAACTCATCTATATAGATCAGACACTAGTCTTTGTTGAATTCCCCACATGGAGCAAAAAAAAATTTCCACCCTGAATGACAAAATAATTTAAAGCATGCGAACCACTAAACAGCTGTCTTCAAGAAGTTTTAACATATGTGCCAATGAAATCAAAACCAATAATAAGGAATGCACATGATTGCATAAAGAGGTAAATGAAGTATCCTTTTTTAGTGTAGGCGACATCATAGAATCCAGCCGAAAACATGAAGACACCCATCCATAGCTCGGCCAAATGAAATCTAATGCAACAAATAACAAGAAAGCATCAAATTTGGAACTCCATAGTTCAAATATAGTAATAAGGAAATTCATATGTGTAATGCTTCTCATATCTTTCGAGGCCGACACCACTTCTCTACCCTTCCTTCAAGCATATCAAATTAAAAATATAACAAATAGGGAGAGAGAGAGAGAGAGAGAGAGAGAGAGAGAGAGAGAGAGAGAGAGAGAGAGAGAGAGAGAGAGAATTTGCAGTATATAGAGAATGCATAAATATATTGTCATTAATTCTTATTTCTCTAATTATATGATTAAATATGTTGTGTGACACCTAGTGATTAATTTCTCTCTATATAGGAAGGAATGCATAAGAAAATGCTTGGAATAATTTTTTAAAAGCATAATAAGGGAATGGTGTGGTCAAGAGCTGTTAATGAGTGAGAAAATCATAAAAAGCAATAGTATCAACTTATTTTCTCAATCATATACTAGCAGTTCTTTTAACTTTGCTTTACATGATGCATGATAGAATTATATGTTTTATGCACTTTAAAATTGTAACAAGCACAAGAATCTTTCAACTACCTAATGATCATCTGACCATCATAAGCTAAGGATTAAATAATTAAAAACATTAAATTAAGGTTTAATACCTTTGCCTTGTCCTAACTTGAGGCTTCTTATAATCACCAAGCAACGGCTCTATCACTTTAGCATCTCTTAAATCTTTTGCATTCTTAACTATCACTTCCATAGATGGCTTTGTCTTGCTACCATCACCCAACTTTGTTGTAACTATCCATTCATTAACCCGGCCAACGTCTAAAAAACCTGTAGTAGCTGCCTTAATTCGATGCAAGGACATTACATTTTCAAAGAGCACCCAAGGGATTACAAGGTGGAAAGAGCTGTTCATCAAATAGAAGAGTTTTCTAGCATTTAAATCATCAATATCAAATATATTATGGATACTCCAACATAATAATAATTATATAATATTTGTTATTTTTATGCTATTACCTTGGAGTTCCTACTGATTTAAGAAGTGTAATAATTGTTGGTATGTATGCGACTCCCCACAAGGGAATCTCGACCTCAGGAATTAGAACGGATAGTGGAATCACAATGCAGGAGAATATATAGGCTGATGTATGAGCTACAATCTTTCCAATGAAGAAGAAGTTATAGATTAGGTGGATTTTTTTCCATGTTGAAACCTTCTGCAAAAGTCATTTATACAACACAAAAAAATTTAATTGGAATGACCACAACAACACCTAAAAATAAAGTAACTTTCTACTAATATTGCAAATGTAATAGCATACTATATCATATATCTGCTCTACTGGAGCCTTGTCTTTGATAATCAACTTTATATAATATTGAGAATGAAGTATATACATACCTTGTTAGCTATTATCTCCAATATCATCTTCTTGAAAAGGTTTGCAGGTCCACAAGACCATCGATGTTGCTGATATCGATAGGCCTTGAAAGTACTTGGTAATTCACATTTTACCTGGTATAAATTTTGATGATCAAGTGAGCGAAGATTAAACAATTTACCACTTGAATGCTAATTTATATGCTAAGTATGCATTAATATGCATTTAAGTTGGATTGAGTAAATCATCATGGGAGCTTAATCAAATTAAATAATGCATTTATTGAGAACTACTTAGAACCTTCTGTAACTTGAAAATCACAAGCCAGATGTTTCCTAATCCTCAAGCCACCAAGAGCTGAATAATTGAAGTCTGCCATAAGCCAGGCCTTACTTGGCCATCAAAATAAAGTTACCTAACTCGCCTAAGGATCCTTAACATACCCAGTTGGCAAACTCACCTTTCTAAAGGGTGCTCACCCTCAATCTACAATTTGTATAAGCTTTCTACCTCACAAAAAACCTAGAAGTCAAACTTTCTAGGTACATAACTAGTTACACCTAGTTCAAGTCATGTATTTTTTATAAATGTGATCAAAATATATAGTCAATTGTATAATGTTAGTTTTGGCCCTCAACTATAAATAGGAGATGACATGTTGAGCACATAATCTTGTACTTTAGAAAAATATTTCCTCTTACCTAAATTTCTCTAAATGTCTCTTATACTTTCCTAAATTCTTCTCATAATCACTCATTCTATTAGCTCTTTGGGCACATGTTATATATGTAATAAGATCTAGTTATCTTTCATGGACAACATCCAATCAAACAACAAATATATAACTTACAACAAATTTATAATATATATAAGTAGGGTAGAAGATAAAGGAAAAGATATGCATGCAAACCTTGACATCACCAACATACACAAACTTCCAACCATCAAGACTTGAACGAACAGCCAAATCCATGTCTTCAACCGTCGTCCTATCCTTCCATCCTCCAGCATCAGCAATGGTTGATATGCGCCAAACGCCGGCAGTTCCTAAACTCAAAGTTGTTTAGACCTAGTCAAGATAACTATTTTCATTCAGAAATTCACTCTTAATTTTTACCATTAAAACCGAAGAAGGAAAATGCAGATGACCCAGCTTCTTGCTCAATCTTGAAGTGATAATCTAATGACATCTCTTGCATTCTTGTCATCATGCATTCATTAGCATTCACTAAAGAATTCAACCATGCAAAAACGATTAGAATTTCTAATACGAGTTCATAAATTTACCAACAAAGTGCAAGATATATTAGTCAATTATTGAATAATGTTACTGTTTTATGTTGTTGGGATGCCTAATTTGACTAATACATGAAGAAAAGTCTTATGCAAACTCAATTGCAAATCAATTCGGGTTTGAGGCTACAAATTTACACCGTTTGTAAAATCTTCAGAGGCCATAACAATATATATCCATCAATTGGGTGAAGTTGTGTGCTATTCTAAGTTATATTTTTGTTTTCTCTCAATGAAATGAATTAAGTCTCACCTAATTCCAACTTTTTCTTCTCTTGTGTCATTTAAATGAGGATATGATTAGGAATTAAACTTACCGAATTTCCATCGAGCTTGAACAAGAGCAATCTCCGGATTATGAATGAGAAAAGGGACTGTTCGTTTCAAGAAATCAGATTCTGGTTGGAAATCAGCATCAAATATGGCAACATATTCACAATCTTTTACAGAATAATGAAGCATTCCATCTTTCAAAGCACCAGCTTTGTACCCATTCCTGTTGTTTCTGACCTCATGATTTATGTTCAACCCTCTGTTCTTCCATATTTTACATTCCAATCCCACCAAATCCTACAAATATTCCATTTTAATGTTATAATTGAAGATAAATGCATACATAAGGAAGCATTCTGATAAGTTTTAATTCATTGCTTTGCTTTTTTAATCTAAATGAATCTGTCATAAGTCTTTTTTTTTTTTTTTTTTCTTAGAGTTTTAATTAATTAGTTTTCTTAAGAAATTAATTTTAGTACAAAAAATAATTTTAATCTGATAAAGCATAAAATATAGAGGCCGTTTGATTTGGATATTTTTAAAATACATTTATTTTTAATTAAATTTAGAATAACTAAAATATATGATAGATATTAATTATTTTAATTGATAATTTTTTTAAAAAGTTATTGTCAAGTTCTTGAATTTGAATGACCGTCAACGAGGTAATTAGAGGCGATATATGAGAGAGCATGGATAAGTGCGTGGGTGCAAACGGGTGCGCGAGAGAGTGTCAAGAGGTTATTTTTGACCAGATCAAAAGAGTACAATAACATCAAGCATTTATCCCATTATGTGGGGTCGGCTACATAATTTTTTTTTTTCTCTATTGTGTCCTATTAAGAGTTAAATTCTCATTTAAATATAATAAATAAAGGTTATTCTAATATTTTCTAACTAAATCTTTTTAGGTGTACTATTTTTTTAACAAAAGTCAAATCTAATACATCTACTTTCCTAACCGGGTCATCGGAAGGCCGCCATTTTATGTGACCAAACCATCTCAGGTGACTTTATCTAATCTTATCTTCCATTGGAGCTAGGTTGGAAATCTTGGCTAATTTGGGACTTAAATGGTCCTTCAATAATTTAAAAAAAAAAATCAAGGGTTGCTATTTTGTATGATGATAAGTGAGTCTAAAATATTTCATGGGTTTTAAGAATTTTGGTATTCGGTTTGATTGAAACAAAAAATGCAAAGTTGCATTTTAGTGAATTCTAAATTTACTTAGATTATTTTGATGTATCCAAACTCAATTGTTTTTGGTTGATTTCAAAATACATCTTTGTAGGCCATGTTAGTTGTCACGACCATCATTGCGGTTATTGTTGTCGACCTATGGATTAATTATTCTATGAGGACACGGAACGTCGTCCGAATACCAACTAAAATGTGCCACGTCACCCATATGCTCGTTACTGCCGCTCGGTATTGCTCGGTACCGTGGTTCACTGGCTCGGTACCGCTGACATGGCATATTCTGGTTGGTCTGCGGATGACATTTTGCGTCCGGTCTCCGAACAAAATAATTTCTTCGACCTATGACACCACATCACCATTGGCCATCAACCCCTCCTTCATTAAACTTTATATTATATTCATTTTACTTCAAAACCAAACAAAAAATAGTAATCATTTGGATTTGTTTTATACTCATTCAAATAGCTCCGAATATTTCAGATATATAGCATTCTTTTTTTAAGACAGCATTTCTTCAGCAAAACTTATAGTCCCTTAATTTTTTTTTTTGGAAAATAAAATACAATAAATATGATAATCTCTCGTACCCTTGCAAAAAAAAAAAAAGTAATATCAGCCATTGTCGCCTCTCATGGTACTTGAATTATTAATCCCTTCTTGCTCCTCAACAGAGCCCCCATGTCAGGCTAAAAGGAAGTGGATCTTCAATTATAGCAGAAAAATAACAAATATTTGAAGTGCAGGACATAGACTAAGTAACTCACCTTGATCTATTGGTTTGGAGTTTTAACTATCAATCAAAAAATTTTGAATTCGACATATGTGATGTGAGTGTGATTTTGTTTTAATTGGCTCCAAAGTCTCCAAAAAAAAAAGATGGAGACTTAAATTTATAATTGTAATTTATAAAAGTTAGGAAGCAAAGTACATATTGAATATTTAAATTTATATTTATTTATTTTAAAAATATATATCAAAGATACAAATTATTAAAAAAAGTAAATATTAATGATAGTTTTATGTGATTTGAAGGTCTATGGTGTTATGTATTTATAGTAATACATATAAAAATTTATGTATAATATATTTAAGTACACTCTGTATATAAATTTCTCAAAAAAATTAATGGTTAGTGTGTTGAAAGTATGCACATTTAAAATAAGGAAAATTAAGCGTCATAAATATGCATCAAGGAGAAAGTTGGCTACAATTCAGTGTACATTAATATATAAAATAGTTTTTTTTTTTTATGTAGAGAGAGCTCCTTGGCCTATTGGTTGAGAGCTTAGGCTTCCAACTAAGAGGTTCAGGATTCGAGTCTATGTGTATGCGTAGTGTGTGTGAGTTTGCCTTAAATGACCTAAATGTCGAAAAGAGAGAGAGAGAGAGAAAATTCCATGCCTTCACAACTGGATCAGTGGAGTCATCCAGTACTTGAATAATCATCCTATCAGATGGCCAATCCAAATTGCATACTGCCCTTATTGAAAGCTTGTACACCTGCTATCACCTTTTCCATGAGGCAACCAAAAGAAATGGCAGAGAGAGAGAGAACTTGCATACCTCTTTCTCATTGTACATTGGGATCTGTACAAGCACCATTGGATAAGATAGAACACCAATCTCTAGATCTGAGGTCTCGGGTCTCATTGGCTCCCATCTATAACGCTTCTCAGGCTTCAATTTAAACACCTTGACAACAAGACAAATCAATCCCACAAACACCTTCTCCACAAAAATCATCAGAGTCATTATCAAGCAAATCAACACTGCAACTCTCAACAATGGCGCCACTATATTCACTCTTATTTGCTTCCATTTCGTAAGTAACACCTCTTCAATACCTTCCAAATCGATAGACAAACTCCCAAACTCTAACATTTCTTTCTTCTTTCAGAATTTTAGCTTCTCGCAGCGAAGAGGAGCTCTCTCATGGCCTCTTATACTTGATGTCTCTCCTCTCATTCAATCAATGTGTTATTGTGGGAATTAACTTCTTGACATTTCCCAAAACTGACAAAAAAATTTAGCTATGAATCAATTATTTTTTAGAGTACAGGACAAGAAAATGACTCCAGTTATACAGAAAGCTAGTTTTGAGCTCTGAGTATTACTGCAGCCAGTCTTTGTTGATACGATATATAAAGAAATTGAAAATCAACCCATAAAAATTGTAATAATGAGCCCGCAACGTCCCACACCTTATGCTTGTTTAGTGTAGTTAACAAGTCCCTTACTCTTTCCATTTCAATAAGAAATATTTAAGATGCTAATAATTTGATATTTAGGTATCGTTTGGGCTTTCCGGCAGCTTTTCATCTTTCTAGTATAAAAATTAAAATTTTGTACTAAAAATTTGCTTTAAAAAGCAGTAAGAAAATCATCCCATAGACATTTACAAACATGCATGTTATGAAAATATTATATCTGAATCAATTAGTGACCAAAATCTTCCAATCTATGCATCATGCATGTTATGGCAAAGTGCATTTTTTTTGTTTTTGTTGCCACTTTAATTTATAACAAAACAAAATGATTGATGCAAAAGAAAAATATTATTGCATCAGAAAGAGAACGGAGGCTGGAAAAGTGTCAAATTGTTCACCAATTAATAAAATTGGATGCCTTTGAGATTTAGGAGATCCAATGCTCAGAAGTTTGCAAACTTAGAAGTGCCAACCTCATGTGACTGCAGCTTAATTAAAGTTTGGTTTGATAATCTTCTTTATATTAATGCTTTATTTAAAGGAAAAAAAATTAAAAAAATAGGTACATTCCCTTAATGTGAAAAAAAAATGATTCTAAGGACAAATATCAAATCAGGAGATAATATCATAGAAAATGTGCTGCAAATATCAAATATAGAACATTAATTTTGCTTCTTGGAGACTATTATTATCAGTTTTGTACTGTTATCCGATTAGTTCTACTCATTACAAGAAACAAAAAAGAGAAATTCCCCTTCATAGAGCCTCTGATCTGCTCAACTTTCTCCATTATTATTAGAACTTTTTTTAATTTTTTCACAATATCGTCTTATTATCAATAAGTACCAAATAATGAATGAGAATGACTAATATAACAATCAACAACAGCTATTGTTACAAATTATTTCTTGGCCTTTCTCTGAGGGTGGGAAGAAGAGGACAATGACACTAATTAGCTTTGAAATTGAATGGATAAAATAACGTATTGACTTCGATGATGAATATAGCTCATAATACAAAGAGAAATATTATAGGGTTATATGTCCTTTATCAGAAGGTCTCTCCTCTTATGACAATTAGATCATATAATTAAAGGCACTGTGCACTTTATATTACACAGCACCATTATCAGAAGGTCTCTCCTCTTATGGTAGTGCCGGCGGCGATAAAGGTGGTGGTTGTGCTTCGCCTCGATTGTAATGTCGGAGATGTTTTTGATTGAAAAAAACATCAATGGATCTTGTGAGTCTTTATGTGAAGCTTTTTTGTCAAAAATCAGAGAAGACCTACAAGTAGAAGAAAATAAAAGAGGATGAAAACAAGGAAACTAGCTTAGCTTTTCCTAAGGTACATGTACATGTTCCAATGTTTAATGGAAAAGAGGTAAACAATTTGCATCATTGAAATAATACTATGAAAAAATGGGCAATAAAAAAATACTGAGATTTACATGAAAATTTCTAGACAAGTAAAAAATCAATAGTAGAGATGACGAATTCAAAAGGACGAAACAAGCGAGCACGAGAAGATAGTGGCGGTTTATGTAATATAGTTATATAAAACCCTAATTTCATGTATACAAACATAGTGCAAAATAAATAAAATATATTATCTGAGATTGGGCCTACCCCTTTACTACCATCTCAAGTCCCAAAGAACTTTTCATAATTAAATTACACCACATATTTCACACCACAAGCCTAAGCCTATCAACCCAAGCCCACAAATTTGGATCGGAAAGGCTTTGTTTTATATAAATTTAGGTAGTTCTAACTTCAAGTTAATGATAACAATATCTGGAACTCAATAAGCTCATGAAAATGTATAATCATGAAGTGATCTAATGAAAATCTGTAAGTTAATTTAGCATTGCTTACAATGAAGTGCTAACTTAATTACTATGAGTTTTGTCCTCTAATTAAAATTAATTCTTGAGTTGTATTAAAGCATATTAATTCAATAAACTCGTCCGGCCAACTTAAGTTTTAGAAATAGTGATTGAATCTGGAGTTTCTAAGATTTGCAAACTATCGATTGGAGTTGCTTGGAATCTTTTGTGGCCATCGGATCGAATTATCATTCAAGTTCTTGATGCATGATTCAACTGAATTTTGATGATCTCCTTGCTCGGATTTATCTTCCTGTGCTAACTTAATCGACAAATAATCAAATTCTCTGCAACCATACCCTTCTGAGTTGCAGGATTTAGTTCAGAAGGAACGTGAGATGGAGAAGAAAAGGATATATAAAACATATATTACATATCGAGAGATAATAGAAGTGGATATAAAGCAGGAGATCGACATAAAGGAAGCAATGGAGATTCCAACTGTTCCTTTTCCCATTCACAATCCTGCTATTTGGCCATGTTCTTGCTCGTTGGAAACTTGGTAAGAACGCACTTTTTTACCTATATGTTGCAGTGAAGCTTACTCTTTTATTATTATTATTATTATTATTATTATTATTATTATTATTATTATTATTATTGATTATAAAAAATATATTATCATCTTAATGAAATTAACAATGATCTTATTTGATCACCAGCTTGCAAATCCTTCCAAAAATATTATCATCATAATTAACATGCATTATATTAAATGATAATTAGATAACACGTGCAACATATGTTATATGGAACATCAATGAATGCTAGCTAGAAATCTTCTTGCAGTGTTTTTAAAATATTATTGTTGCGTGCTAGAATATACGCGGCAGTAGAGTTAGAAACTATTCGTCTTAGCATTGCACGAGTATTCCGCACACAAACAGAAAAGAGAAATGAACACCAGAGTTTTTACATGGAAAACCCAAAAAGGGAAAAAAAACACAGGGCCTTGCTCATTTGTAAAGTTCCACTAGTGTTTTTGTAGATTACAAATGGCTGATTCGTCCCACAAGTCGGGACAATCAGAATACAATTTGTTTCTTCCAGGAAGTTTACAAAGTTCTGCAAATTCCAGGCGTTTCCCGAAAATCCGGCAGAGTTCCGGCATATTCATAAGCTCGTTAAAATCAGAGACCATTTAGTAACTCAAATTGCGTTTGAAGCTTCCAACAGCGCTTCGAGTCCTTGATTCGGACTCATTTGGGCTCGGATTGGGTCGAATTTGGTGTTGTTGGATTCGTATTTCCGAGACGCTCAGTTTGACTATAAGCTCGTTGAAATCGGAGTTCATATGCTCTCGAATTTAATTTTTGAAGTTTTCGAACTGATTTTGCCTCAAGATACGTGCCCAATTAATTAAGATAATTTCATGATGACGTATCAATTATATCTCCAGAAACTATGAGGAGTAATATTTTATAATTATTCTTATTTGTATCCAATAGTTTTAAGGAAATAATAATAATCAGAAACAATTAACACTTGGCTGCCTTTATACAGTTAATCTTAATAATGATTATTGCTTAACAACAACAATACAATAATGTCATTATTAAATAACCATTTTAAGATAGAGCAACAATCAGCATCATCAACAGAAGAGGCATTCATTTCTTTTAACGGTAAGATACCTTCTCCAAAGTGGCAAACTGTATATATATAATAAATCGGTCTAGCCGTTAGATTTTTTTTTTTTTTTTTTTTTTGTAATAATTTCGAGGGACTACGCGTTAATATTCAAAAAAAATAATTAGTATGCATAAATAAAGCAAAAAAAAATTGAATGCATAATAAATAATCTATTTACAAAGAAAATTAATAATAATAAAAGCAATTCAGACAACCATTATAAAAAATACTAACCAAATTTTGTCGCAAAAAAAAAACACTTGTTAATGTGACCGTGAAAACAAACAGCTCAACGAATACTCATAAAACCCAATAAAAATTAGAAGAGGAAAGGGGCAATGAGACTACTTTAAACAAAATTTTATCTCACGTTTTCAATTCTTTTATTGCTGAAACTATATTCTTTTATGGCATCGATGTAAAGCTGGTTTTAGATGATGTAGCACCTAACACATAGGATTATCAATGTACTGCCAAATTGATAATTATTATTGATATATGACCATTGTTAATCTATTTGATCAATTATTAATCAATCAACTGTTATATATATTTTTTATTATGAAGTTTTGACATGATCTTGTAGACCTGCCAAACCCAATTGTCTGCATATAGCCAATAAATGAAAATTGAAATGATTTTTAGCCTAATTTTAAGTTCACCAGCCCCAACTCAGCCACTTAAAATTTCTACTTGAAGGATTATGTTGTAATTAAGAAAAAATTTAAGAATTATTTTTCGATAAAAATCAATATAATATTTTATTTAAATTAGCATCATAATATAATATATCAATGAAAAAATCAAAAGAAGATGAGTTTCAAAATCATTATATTAACTTTTAGATGAGTATAATATATATTACACTATATTCTTCTGAAAAACTATGAAAATCAATTATAATCAAATTTTAATCAGAATATCATGATTTTTTATTATTTTCATGTTTAAAAAAAATATTTAAGATTTGAATCATATCAGTAAACTAATATTTTATAAGTGGAATTTCAATGATTTTGTTTTTATCTTTTACTTTCATCCATTTTTTTAGGCTTATAACATGTTTTCATTTATTTATTTGTTTCTACTTTTCAGATATAATTTCTCAGAGCTTGGAATTGTAATATGCCTTCGGCGATGCGCATCATATTACTATTCTTTTAGAACTGACCAAAACTACTTACTATAGAATAATCTCTTTCATATCTCATAATGCAATTTGCCTGTGGGAACCTTCATCCCTATATGAAATCAGAGCTCTCCAACAAAATTCTTCGGATAGAATCCAAAGATACAAAGCGCTCTGAAATGTGGCTTCAAGGAATAGAGAAATTATACTATAATATACAAAGCAGCGAAGTTGGACTATATGATATCATTTCTTTAGAATGTCTTGTACTCGACGAAAATAATTATAATATTATCAATAATAATAATGACGACAAAAATAATTATTATTAGGGAAATTTGCATACATACCACTTTATAACATCCTATTTACATATCTAACATCTAAAACTTTAATATTACATCCATACCACCCTATATTATTTTAATATCAAATATACCACTTATATTTCTTTCCTACCACTCATATATTTCATTTCTACCACTCATATTTTGTATGAAAATGAACTATGGGTGATATTTATGTAATATTAAAGTTTTAGGTGTTAAATATGTAAATAGAATAGTATTAAGTGGTATGTATGTAAAACTCCCTTATTATTATCAATGGCTGATCCCCTTAGTGTTGCCCACATCTAAAAAAATTATTACATGATTTTTTAAGTTATTTGTCCCCTCCGTCTATTTTTTAATATTTATTACAAAAAAATTTAGGTAATTGCCCCTAAAAGTTTAAAATATCAGTCTTCAAATAATTTCCACAACATAATTAAACACATTGTATATAAATATTATTGTTAGAGAATGATGAACCAAATACACAGAAAAATAGTAAAGATAATCCAAAAATATCCTTACAACCAAAATTTATAAAACTCCCGCAAAATCGTTGTCCCTTGACCCCGCGACCTGACCAAACAGATCACACCTCGCCAGCACAAATATCAAGTTTCCTTTTTATTTATAGGCCTTGGTTACTTTTGGTAGCTAAAAAATATCTTTATCAACCATTTTCTTTCTTTATTTTGTTGTCGCTATTGACTCATTTCTTATAATAAAGTGTCAAGCCAAATTCAAAGCAACACTAACAATTATAAGTTTGCCCCTCTAAAAATTAAGATTGATTCCGCCTCTCATTATTATTCTTTTTATTAAAGGATTATTACACTAATCCTTTAATAAAAAGGATAATAATAATGATGATTATAAAAAATATTAAGCTTTTAGAAATTTATCTATAGATCTGACAGGGCCTTAAAACCTGACATAAGCCATCAAACAACAAATCATAAAAATTAAAAAAACAAAAAACAAAATCTTCCATTAGATACAAATTCATTAGGCAGATAACCTTTTATTACAATGCCACGATTTCGAGTCTTTAAAGAATTTGAAGCAAATTCTTTCGATTCATACAAAAATCTGATCGCAGAGAAAAAGCTTTCGGAGAAAGTAAAGGAATTTTTGTGCACAGGCTAGAAAAGTCGCAAACCTTCTGGGCAATCTGTAACACCGAGTTCTGTAGTTCACAAAAGAGACCTTACAATCATGAAACTTGAGAAGAATTACAATCAATATGTTTAGCAATATCACCACCATTACCAGTGGATATAGCTACTTGGAAGCACCGTTATATTTGTTTATTTATTTGTGCCTAGCAAGGTAACACGTAAATAAACTAAGCAAATTTTTTGTATGATTCAAGATTTGATACTTTGAAAAGCCAAAGAAGAATCAAACAGTGGGGTATACAATCTAGATTCCTAAAAAGAATACATAGTAACAAAGATCAACTTGGGCTGCAAGTGAAACAATATTCGGGGGGGCTCTTTAGCTGCAAGATTTAGCTAAGTTCTAAACAAAATTTAGGCGAAATCTTGCCATACCAATTTTTTATACTAGATTTATCAGATTTAAGTGATTTACATTTTACACTTCTCATTGTCTTTTTCTCCATTTAATTCGTGAGCTTGCAAGATTTAAGCTAAATCTTGCCAAACATTTTTGGAGTCAAATAAATCTTAAAAATATATGTCAAATTATTTACTAGGATTTTACTAAACTTAATATTTATCATGCCAAATTTCAGGATTTGACATCTATAGGATTTATTAAGTTTAGATTCACAGTCATTTCAAAATTCGACTCAAATTAAAAGCTACTTGTAGCAAAACAAACTCCTAAAACAGAAATGATATGTCAAACAATTTATTAGGATTTAATCAGATATAACGTCAAAGGGGGATTTTAAGAGGAGCATGTGAGAGCGCATGCGTCATTATTTTTTAATATCTTTATATATAACATATGATTTAGAGAAAGCATATGATAAAGTTAAGTTCTAAGAGAAGTGCTATGGATAGTTTTTGAAAAGGAGTAAATAATGCTTATATTCAAAAATTAAAGATATTTATGCAGGAGTTATTACTTGTGTTCAAACACAAGGTGGTCTAACCAAGTATTTTCCTATTTCGGTTGGAATACATCAAGGATTAGCCTTAAGCCCATATCTTTTTGCTTTAGTCATGGATGTTCTCACTAGACATTTGCAAGAGGATGTACTTTAGTGTATGTTTTTTGCTGATAAAATTCTTCTTGTTGATAATACTAGAGAGTGAGTTGAAGGTCAACTCGAATTATGGAGGTTAATCTTAGAGCCTAAAGGTTTTCGCTTGAGTATATCTAAAACTGAATATATGGAGTGCAAGTTTAGTAGTAACGGACCTAGTGAGGGATTGTGATTTTGGGCGATCAAGTCATTAATAAAAATACAAGTTTTAGATATCTTGGATCTATTATTCAGAGTGATGGTGAAATAGATGAGGATATTATCAGTAGAATTCAAGTTAGATGGCTGAAGTTGAGGAATGCATCGAGCTTGTTGTGTGATAGAAAAGTCCCCCTCAAACTTAAGGGAAAATTCTATGGTGAGACCTGCAATGCTTTATAGTGCAGAATGTTGGCCATTAAAAGAGAAGAATAATACTAAGTTAAGTTTTGCAAAGATGAGGATGCTCAAGTGAATGAGTGGATTTACCCTTAGAGATAGAATACAAAATGAGCATATACGTGAAAAGGTTGGAGTAGCTCCAGTGAAAGATAAGATTAGAAAGGGTCGCCTTAGATGGTTTCTTCACATAAAAGGGCGGGCTTTCGATGATCCGGTTAGGAAAGTAGAGGTATTAGATTTGAATTATGTTAAGAAAGGTAGATGTAGACCTAAAAAGGCTTGGTTAGAAAATATTAGAAATGATCTTTCTTTATTAGATTTAAACGAGAGCTTGACTTTTAGCATGACACAAACGTAGTGGGACAAAGACATGATGATGTTGTTGTTGTATATATAACAGATATGCATTAATATGCTATTGATATTTTGTCATAGTTAATAGTAAACAATTAATTTAATCCCCTCCAAATATTAAAATTAATTCATTTGCCCCTATCAAAAAAAATTCCTAAAACTACCATTATCTAACATGACATATTAGAAATGACCTTTCTTTATTAGATTTAAATGAGAATTTAATTTTTAACATGACACAATAAAGAAAATGAATACATGTAGCTACCCCACATAGTGAGATAAAGGCTTGATGATGATGATATTGTTGTTGTTGTTGACTTGTTGTTGTTGTTAATGTGACCAAGATTTACTACATTTTACTATTTACCAGATTGACTAAATCCTACTTGAATAAGATCCTACTTGTAGCCAAACAGCCCATCATTCTTATAGAGATACAACATAAAAAAGCATACTAAAAATGGTCAAATCAAACACAAAGCACTATTATAGATGGGCGAGATTTTGGATTCTAACAAAAAAGGGACAGTTGCAGCCAAAGTCATTCTTGTTGCAGCAATATTATAAGGATTTGCTAATAATCATTCAGTTTAATGGCACTCTAAATACTGAGGACAATATAAATTTGATTGATTCCTTGTTCACAAGCTATTCTTGGCATCTTAGAGCCCAGAGCGCCACAGGCAGCCTCTGCCAAAGTCGAATAAACGAACTTCAATTAAATTGGATGACAATAAAACAATGTATTTTAAGAAAAACTTTTTCTCAAGTTAATCTGAAAATATTCATTCTGACCCTAAAAATTTTCCTTGGAAGTATGGCCAAGGAAACTATGAGTAACAAAATACCCTAAATATATAAATTATAATATCAATAACTAAAAAAATTTAAAAAACTGGAGTAAAAATGAGAGATGATGACCAGCATTGAAGCTCCGTTTGTTAAAAAGCATGCACCTGAGTAATTAAGGCTTAAAAGAATACTCCCATCATCTGTATATGCAGCATTTGGAGGCTTGGTTTGTTGAAATGGTCATACCTGCTAAAGAAGCAGCACTTTAATCTACATGCAGAGTACATAAAGTGATTGGAAGATCTATTTATAGCATTCCAAATATACTATCAAGTAAATTATATTCAAACTTATCATTCTGCATTTCACATCAATAGCATCCTCGCAAAAAGTAGCCAACTCGTAAATCATGCAGATACAATTAAAAAAAAGGCCCTTAGGACAACAGTATTAAGAAATAAAAGAGTGTTCATTAACTAAAAGTAAAAGAAATGACTCATACCTGGCTAGTAATCTGTGTATACTAAACTTTCACCATATGAGCCTCAACCGAAGAACTAAGGTCTTCTCTGGATTGGGATCTCCTACTCTGAAGCATTTGGCCCCTGTTAGGAGCCCAGAACGACCTAGTTCCATCACCAAATTGTAACTGAACCAAGCTTCCAGAGGAAATACTATGTGAAAATCCCAACGGCTGTGAAGACGGTTCACCAAACTGAATGCTGCCACCACTCAGCACATACCCAGCGCCAAAAGGATGTTGTTCAGAGCCAGCAACAGTAGGACTTAGTGGCATCTTAGTTCTTCCATCACCTGAAAGGAGAAGAGGAGAGATGTTAAAAGAATGAAATTAAAAAGAACATCAAAAGTTTGCAAAAAGCACATGTATGACAGCGATGATAATCATGAGAATTAGAAAAATAACCTATAAAAAATACTAAAAAAAGAATAAAAGGAAAGAGACAATGTTCAGTGAGATACACCTACACCTACACAGCCATAAATGATCCACTTGTCAAAAGATAATTATAAGATTCAATACATTTGCATACCCAAAATAAAACTCAAGAAACAATATCAGCCATGATATATATATATATATATATATTATGCACTTGATATAACCTTTTCTTCTTCCACATCTGCATAGTACTCGAACTCATTTGTTTTCCATTACTAGTTCGTTTGCAACCCCCTATGCTATATGCCCCAAAATCTCTGAAAGCCACTAACCACCTACTCTAGTCACCATCCTCCTCGCCCGCATGTACTGCCAGCCACTGTGACTTGACCTCAGGTGAATCTCCTTTGCCAATTAACACGGTACCACCAAGACCTTTAGGCCTTTTTAGTCAACTGACCTCCTCTTACACACATAGATGAGATAATGTCAATGCTTGACCTAAGCTCTCCACCAATGAGCATGTCATTTAGCCATCAACCTCTTCCTCTTTCTTGTTGTTGACCTATACATAATACAAAAAAAGCTCAAATCAGCGTACCTGCTCGGCGCCAAAATCATGTTCTCCACACGACTGCTAAAATCCCGCTCAAATCCTCAACGACGTGCTTCATACGTACCTCGCACATCTAAACGCAGCTCCGCTCGTCCTATTTCCTGTGGTCCTCGCCTAGATCAATCGGCTACTCTCATTATTAAAATCTAGAGGAGAGGAAAGCTTAGCGCTCTTTTTTCTCCCACTCTCTTCCACGCTCTGTTCTCGAACACGAAAAAGCCCTCACCTCCCGAAGTCTTCCTCAGCCGCATGCACATCTAGCCTCGGCAACACCTCCGACCGGCCGATCAACACAGCTGAAGCTCAACCCGCACTCCACTCCTCTCAATCCCGCTTATTCCCTTGTCCTTCTCTGACGACTCTTCCTATAGAATCCGAAGTCACACCTACTTGTCGTTCTTTAGTTGGATCAAAAGGAAAAAAAAAAACGACAGGAGCTTGCTCGTTGCGAAGGTAGCCATCTTTCTTCCTCTTTCGAACTTCTTCCGCCAAATCTCATACATCCGTTGAACTCCCAGATTAGGTAAATCTGGGGTTTAGGGCAATAAGAGGGAAAACAGAGGATTTAACTTGCTGTGAGATTTAGCAGTTCCCTAAATCCTAGCTTAAATCATGCTCAAATCCTACATAAATTCGTTTGCTAAAAAGCTTTTTTTATTAATTACAATTAATTATGATTAAATATAATTAATTATCATTAATTATAATTGATTATAATTAATTATTACCAATTATAATTAAGTACTATTAATCATAATTAATTAATTATGATTAATTGCAATTAATTATCATTAATCATAATTATTTATAATTAAGTACTACTGATTTTAATTAATGATCATTTATCATAACTAATTATAATTAATTTATGATAACTAATTATGATTAATTATTATTAATTATTGTTAATTACTATTATTAGCTATATTTAATTTTAATTAATCGTTGTTAAAAAAAGAAAAAAAGAAAAAGGAGAAAGGGAAAGAAAGAAGATTGTGCGCCTCGATCTACATGCCAACACCGCCAATATAGTCGTCGACCATGCCGCGAAAGGTATAAAGTTCCAAATCCTACCCTCAGCGCGTCACACACGCCAGGAAACCACCATACACGCTTTTCTTAGCGTGGTAGGAGGGAATCCGATGTGACGTCTACGATGAGATGGGTAGGCCCTTTACACCCTTTTCTTAGTGTGGCGGGGACAATTCTAAATACTCATATATGCTTCAGTGTCTGCGAGGAAAGAATTGTGCATTTCAAAGAAGGTACCCCTGAAGATCCTTACACATCTTTCTTGGCATGATAGAATTGAAGACTACAGCCGTGATGTCTTCAGACACCTATCATACACGCTTTTCTTAGCGTGGTGGTAAGGCCACCACGCCCAGCTCCCCAAATATCCCCAAACAGAGGATACGCCGGGGTGCTATTGAAATTCAGAGTAAGATGCACATGACTTGAGCAAATTACAGGGGATCTTATTCAAATTAAACAACAGGGAACATGACAATGCAATTGAACAACAGAGAATTTGACCCTAAAATTCTAATATGTACAATTAATTCAAAAAATGCAAATGTTGAATGATGATTCAAATCATTTAAATAAGCATAAATAAACAAGCAAAGGACTCATGGCGGGGGATCTTCAGACATGAACAACTTGCAAAAGACATCAGTCGACTAAGAAGGGTATAAACACCTAAATGCCCATAATAATTCAAAATTCCAAAACAATTACCCAAAATCCAGATATTTAGAATTAAAATAAATCATCAAACACTGTGAATTCCGCCACTAAATGACACCACAGGTAAACGATTATGATTGGGACCCTCTGAACCGAAGGGTTTTGCCATCAAATGGCACCACTAAATTACGGTCATGGTCAGAGCTCGCATGTTCCCCAAAGGCTTCAAATCATTGAACAATGAATCAATAGAATATAATCGAAAGAATACAAAGCTCTCTGTTAGCTAAGGTGGAATCAAATTTGTCCCATTAGGCAAATATTCTCCTAAGTTACATAGTACCCTTGGACGAAGCAACCCATGTTTGCCGACAATGATTCTTTTGTCAGGTTGGGTCGACTATCTCCTGTGACTAAGTAAACCAACGACCACGATGGCCCGGGAGGACAGAACCATGGGATCTTGATCGAGCTCATCATCATTGCCCCCACCATCTGCTTTAAGTGCAAGATGATGAAATTTTTAATTTTAAATATTAAATTCTCAAAGACCAAAACCCATGCTACTACTACACGCCAGATACTCTGTATCTGTTTGACTAGCCTTAATCAAAAGTTCTCTCTCATTATCGGGAGGGGTAATTAACTATAGGGGCTTGCGCCTATAGGAAACCATAACACAGATAAAAAAAGTCCTCACAAAAATGAGGGCAAAATCTCTGGGTAGTGACTTATCTATAAGCCCAATTTATCTTCTCAAAATTTATCTGAGAACTTAAGCGTTAAAACTCTCCTCGACGACCAGAAATAGAAAAAGAAAGAAGAAAGGGATCCACGGAGAGGTCGAAGCGTGAATTTTTGAAGCCCACAACCATGAATAAGATAAACTTTCTCACAGTCCCTAATGAAATATTTAGTTCTGAACTCTTTGGGTGGATTATAATAAAATAAAACCTAAGTCCAAAATCCAACACTCCATAAAACTATTCACACTAAGGACTAGTGCATCATAGATCTCTTCACATGTAGCATTCATAGATTCATCTATCTAATTTGAACTATCGCCATCATTCTCCAATGGGCACTCCCTTTTCATGTAGACAAAGTTGTCAGATTGCCAACGTGCATCACTGCAAACCTTGGAATGAATCCTCTGTCGAGATATAAATTTACCTCCATTTTTTGCCTCTTTCAACACTTCTTCATATGCTCTCAAGATTCAAAGCATCAACTGGGCATTGACCTTATTGTAATCTTTTGATGTTCTCACTTAAAGATTATTAGGCCATGGATATCATTGAGCTTCAACTTCATAGACCTGTACAAACTACTGACAACCACATAATTCTGATAGTAAAAATAGTAAATTCATTATATGAACTTTGTCATTGAAGTTGAGATCAACCAAGCTTAAATAGCATATGATATGATTGAACTTAATGATGTGTCACTTTGGAAGCACTTAAATCAATCAAGAAATAAAAAAAAAAAATTCTAATTAGATATACCTTGTTCACCACCAAAGGCTTATCATCTATGTTGCACCGATACACCTATTTATGAAGGCGTGCTGTATCCGATTCACCGATACACGGATACGCCTCCGATACTCCACTGATACGTGTCGGATACGCCAAAGTCGTATCCAATTAAAATATGATAGGAAGTGCTTGTATTCACAAGCAACCTATCCAAAATCTGAGAACCAACAGCAGCCAACTGGCTGTCCACGCAGGAAAACAGCAGATTTCTGCTGTTTACAGCAGAAAAACAGCACTTGTTCGGGAAAATACGAGAGACGCCATACCCGTATCCTGTATTTTTAAGAATTGACGTGTCCCGTATCTGTATCGTGTCGTATCCATGTCGCCGTATCCGTATCAGTGCAACATAGCTTATCATCTATGATACAACGACACTTCTCCTCAAAGAGGCGAGCAGTGTCCGACACGACACGCGTCAGACACTCATCAGACACGTGTCGAACACACCGAAACTTGTCTAATAAAAAAATATTAAAAATACATTGGACATGTGTGACTTAAATATTTTATAAAAAAAAATTAATATAATTTCTTGTATTTAAAATTTTTATTTATTTAAAATATAAAAACTAAATTTTTTATTTCCTCTATAACACCAAATCAATCGGTCGCACTCAATATCTGATTCATCAAATATTCTCATTTTCATAACAATATCCGATGTCATCTCAGCATCAACGTATATGTCGTAATAACATCGACATTTCAAAATCATCTCAACATTAAAGTCCAACACTCTTGACATTGATGCTCTGCGCTAGCAAATTTTAACCCACAACTTAACAGCTTATCTTTGTCTGACATCATCTTAACATCGATGCTAACGCCCTCTCAACATCAATGACAGATTCCCTATTGACATTGACCCACGATACTTACTACACAACATCAATACCCGACTCTCAACAACATTGTCATCTCCCTAATACACAACATTGATGTCCGACTCTCGACATCCTAATATTAATCATTTTTAGCGCAAAGTCTAGTTAAATGACTTATTATTTCTAAATTATTTTTAATCTTATACTTATTAAATTTTTATACACTATTTAAAATATAAAAATTATAATATTGTGTCCAACTAGTGTTCGTAACTAGTGTTCGTATCTTATATTTTCAATAATTGATATGTCTCGTGTCGTGTCATATTCGTATCGCTGTGTCTGTGTCTGTGCATCATAGCTTCTCATACATGTATGAAAAACCTTTTATCACGTCAATTAAGATTCTCTCATGTGATATATTAAAGGCAACAATATTTGCAATAACAAGTATACAACTCTCAACGTCTATTTGTTGAGGTGCAATGCCCATTTGACACACCTTGCAGAGTTATCACCATATTATAAATCTGCTTCGACTGTCCTACCAATATAATCCAATCAAATTCAAAACATGGCCCAATATAGCTCTAATGAGGCACCTAGTGCCAATCCTAGTCACTTCTACTCTACAAAGAATAACCAATTTCAATCTCCATGACCAATTAGATACAAAAAAACTTGTCACCCATTATATTCAATTTCAAGCAGTCAAATCATCAAGGAGACACTAACATAATCAACTCTAAGAACATCCACCCATATCTCTAATTTTCCATCGACTACTTGGTTCCTTAAACCCCAAAAAATTCCTCATTTTTTGTAATGACACAACAGAACTACCGTCACTTGGTCCAATTGCTCAAGACTCATAACATAGTCACTTCCCATATGGATTAATTAACAAGCACACCAGCAATATACCCACCATATCATAACATCTCTCTACCTCGCATTCCTATCGACCTTGAGGACCACATCAGCAGTCAGCCATTCAATCATATGATGTCCTACAACGGGCAGTTGATGGTCTCCAAGCCCACTACCACTATCATCGTTAAACTAGTTGTCTGTCATCGTCCACTTCAACGTTGCCTCAATTAGGGAAGTTGGCTATAAATACCCTCTCCTTAGCCTCCTAAAAAAAAACAAATATTGGGGATTTTCAAATCTATGGTTCATCAAGATAACATTGAAACCAAACTCAAGCACATGTATTCTTCCAACCCTGAAAGAGAAAAAATGAGAGCTAGGAAGCCTAAAAGCTCGTAACTTCCCTTATTCCTAGAATAGTGAAAGTACTCCCACCACTCCAATAGTACATGAAGGCTACAATGCTAAATCACTTAAATTTTTTGTAAAATATTTCTCTTTTCCCCTCAACTCTTCCCAGTTGACCTCAACAATGATCTCCTCATTGTTGGCCATCTTCTCTTCAACCTAGAGAGGTGCCAACTATCAATGCTTGAACTTAACACAATATTGTTTAATGCTGGAGGATTATAGAACTCAGCTCACAGCACTAACTATTAATAACATTGAAATCAAACTTACATTAGAGAAACACAATATTGAACTCAACATCTTAACCCAATATTGTTTAATGCTGGAGGATTATAGAACTCAACTCACACCCAACACTTCAACATCTATAGATCAAAATCAGCTACATAATGCTTAGTTCATGTTTAAAGTTTCATTTCATGGACATGTTTGTCATTGTTAGGTTTCTTTTAGTTGTATTAGATACTATGTTTGCAACCCTAACCATGTCCCTGTTACCCTCTCCATCTTTTTGTCATCTCTCCTCCCTCTTCCTCATCTCTCCTCCCTCTTCCTCAAGCTTCCTGTCTTCCTCCTTTTTTACTGCTGCTGTCCCTTGCAGCAGCAAGAAGAAACTCTCCATCATCCTTTGCAATACCACAGCAAGATCAAGAAATAGAGAAATACTGCAAACTTCTCTTTCAGTTGGTATCAAAACTGAAAATTCTGCGCTCAAGGAATTTGTTGCTTCAACTCCTTTTCATGAAAGGTGTGTCATCTCCTTCTAACCACCATGTGATGTCTTGCTCTTGGTTTTCACTTGTTCTATTCCCCCACAAATCTGCACCCATTCTGCTGAAATTTGCATACAAATTAGTTGAATTTCTGCAGTAAAAGCTGCTGTTTCCTGCAGTTTTGAAATGTTAAACTTCTGATCTCAAAAATTTTGCATATATGCACATTTGAGTACACATTATACAGCAATATTTGTTTGCGCTTTGATAAGATTGTCCATGAGCAGCTGATCCAGCGCAACATGGTTATACAGCCTAGATATGAAGGCTCCACTGCTTACTTCCGGAGGTCTTCAGTGATTAAAGATTCATTTGGAACAACTTTTAAGCATTACGTTTTTATTGTATTTTGACAAATTTTAATACCAAAAAACTGCCGAGCCGAAGTCCTTAAAAACATTAGTGTTAAAAAGTTCACCTGTGTTAATAGAAATCCATCTTGGCAAGCCAAAAGGAGAAGGGATGCCCCTTGCTAAGGAAGCTGAACTATTACGTCTAAATAACGGAAGACAAGGACGCTGCCAAATTCTTGTGACTGGGTTGCTCACACAATTGAGTGCACAGAAAAGCACAGTAACTGACATCAAAACTAATAGAAGAAGAACACTAGGACTTATATCTGTCCGCAGGATTCTGAAGCCCAGGTCAACTCTGCTTGAAAATGCTTGCCCAGCTTCCAACAAGGCAACACCCAAAGTCCATGTGATGCTACCAGAGCCAACGAAAACATCCTCATCTTCAATATGCAACCCATCCCTTAAGAGAGAGACTATATATGGAGCTCTGAAGCAATACTGTTCTATAAAAGGCTGCGGGGAGACGCTTCTCCTTGCAGCATCCCAAGTTTTTGCACAAAACTCCTGACCTCGTTGTAGCACATCATTCAAGGAAGCGTCAGAGGTTAAATTAAAAAATCGGAAGACTACAAAAAAACCGGAAGTGGCATAAAATTTTCCATGTGGCTGAAGTAAGCTGTCACTAAGAGCACAAGGTTTGACTTTGCAGTCAATTGATGGGCTTAAGTCTGACCATTCAGATCGGCTGACTGTTTGCTTTGCAAGTGCACTGCATTCCTCCCATTGCGGAGCACCAAACAACGTAATGGGCAATCCAGCAGCACTTTTTCCCACAGCTCTACCTCCAGTCAGAGGGCTTCCCTCAGAGTTTACCATAGCACACTGGAAACAAAAGTATTCTTCCCTATAACCAGTTTGTAAGCATGGATGCCCAAGCTCTATTTTTTCATTAATCAAGGCAAGTTTGTTACTTCTTGCCAGCCTTTTGAAAAGATGAAAAACAGATTTATCAAATGCATCATTGAGTCCATAGCCAGGCAGCGAATATGCACTCAAATGATGGTTAACAGCTCCCAAGCTCAAATTTATGCCTGTCCCATCATAAACAGGTCTGTCTATTTCAAAAGTTACTTGCAATGATGAACCACCTAGATCAAGCGAACCAAATGTTCCTTTAGCTGGTGACAATCCCAACATGCCTTTGTCATGGTTAAGAGCTACCCATCCATAGTAAGCCTCCTCCATTCCCGTAATGATCTTGACCCATTCTCTGTGGCACAAGAATGAAGAATTCTTTAGAATAGCCCATGCCTTGTCTAGAAGCCATTGTGAATCAGAGTTTGGCAGACGACGAACCCCAGCTGTAGCATATAGAAAGAGGGTTGTAGTTTGGTGAGCATGACTGGGTATTTGCTTCTCAGCCCACTTTAGAAGTGGTTTGATGGCAGCCCTCAAGCCGGTCTCATTGTGTACAAGTTTATGAAAACCCGGCTCAGTTTCCATCCGTCGATAAGCACGACCACTTTGACCAATGGCTTTATTTTGAAACCCTTCGGGTAAAGATTTTAATGAAAATGGTAAGACTCTATCACCTTTATCCTGAACCATTGAGTTCTGATAAACATACACTCTAGTGCCAGTACTTCCACAATCAAGAATAACATAATACTTGGATGTCACATGTTGGAAAGATTTCCTATAATATATTGAGCAGGCGTACATAAACAAAAACAATAGGAGAAGCAAAGAAAAACATATGCTTGCTCGTATCCATTGCTTAGATATCAATGTAGAAGCTGATAAGGATTTCTCCTTTGAAAAGCTTGAAGCTGCACCTTCTCTTTGTAAAACACGTGAAGATTTGATACCGTTATAACTTCTCTCTGTCACAGAATCACATTCTCCAGGATTTACTGTAGTATATGTCAGCAGATTTTGTAGTGAAGCAGACAACCGCATACTGCCTTTCTGTTCAATAAGTTTGATTGCATCTATTCCAGTAGGCTGCTTAGGATCACTGAGATATTTGACAATATAGCTCTAATAGTTAAAGCAAAAATCAGAGCTACTCTCATTACTGGAAATGCACAATGACTGCACCTTGTACGATACGAGAAGCCTAGTTATAACTTATAACCATATCCGAAATGCATAACCATGTTCCTTGTTCCTTGTAAGGCCTCTCAATTGATACTAAAACCTAACACATAAGACAGCAAAATATTTTAAGATTCAAAATTGTGCATGTGAATACAAAAAGGGTGATATGCAAAATTACCAGTTAATTTTGCATAGTGTATGGGAGCCGGAACCTGGAAAAACAAGCATGCAACCTGTATAATAATCTGCAAGTATATTTTATCTCTTAAGAGTATAACAGGCATACAAAATTACAAAAAGTACTTGCAAGTGCATTGCCTATATAAGTAGGTTGATATTAAGCTGAATTCAAATGAGTTTGGTGCAACTCAAAATTTTAAATTGTTGATTATTGTTTGACTCAAAGCCAGAATTCATCAAGTTGAGTAGGCACAATTCAAGCTAATTTGAATTGATTTCAGCTAAACTTAAACCATATTCGATTAAATTACTTCAAGTTCAGACTTCATTGACTTAAGTCAAATCAAACTTGGAGTGATTTTTGTGCAATTTTATATTACAATTACTTCAAGTTCAAAGACTTCATTGACTTAAGTCGAATCAAACTTGGAGTGATTTTTGTGCAATTTTATATTCCAAATACTTTTAACGGGCCTAACTACAAGAAAGAGAATACATAAAGGATAAATGTGCATCACATATTCACAATTGATACCGAAAGAAAGAAAGATAAGGTAAGTCTATTAAAAGTTGGAGGTGATTACCTCATCCTAATGCATAAGAATTATTTTCATGATCAAATGAATCTCTTGAATGTCATTGTTATTTATCCTAAGTGTCCACTGCTATTAGCAAACTGTTAATGTTTTGAACCGCACAAAGCTCAAGTGTTAAATCAACTTTGCACACTCATTTTGTAGTTTATAATATAAATTAAATTATGGAACTCACAAAATAAGAGATTTGTTTTAAAGTTGATTAGTGCCTCAAAAAGAAGGGCTCGGAGCTGTTTAAATATAACTTTCTGACACTGTTAAGAAAAAGTTTGAGCTCCAATATCTAATCAAACTATACAAGAAAAGATTTAAAAAAAAATTAGTTTAGCTGTAAAAACTCTGATAATTGGGAAAGATATAAAGAGTCTCGTAAGAAGTCTAAGAAAGCAATTTGCAATGCACAGATTTTAGCTTTTAATGATTTATATAATAGAATAGATACTAAGGATGACAAAAGATATATGTATAAGTTAGCTAAACAAAGAGATAATAGTAGTAAGGATTTAATTCAAGTGAAGTGTATTAAGGATGAAGATCAAAAAATATTTTTATTAGAATAGGGTATTCAACAAAGGTGGATGAGATATTTTGCTAAACTTTTTAATGAATATTATGAGAATGCAATTGACATTAGTGATCTTAGCACCCTAAATGAAAATAAAGATTTTTTTTAAATGACATATTAGTAATATTGAAGTTAAAGAGGCTTTAAAGAAAATGAAGTGTGAAAAAAATGTTAGACCTGATGATATTCCAATAGAGGTGTGGAAATGCTTAGAAGATGAAGGAATTTCTTGGCTTACTAAACTTTTTAATACTATTTTGGAAACTAAAAAAATGTCAAATGAGTGGAGAATGAGTGTGTTGATTCCTACTTTTTAGAATAAAGGTGATGCACAAAATTGTGTGAATTATAGAGGAATTAAGTTAATGTGTCATAATTTATAACAATGAGAAAGAATTATGGAGCATAGGTTGTGGCGTGACACTAATGTTTCTCAAAATCAATTTGGATTCATGCCAAGTAGGTCTACTATGAAAGCTATACATTTATTGAGAGGTTTGATGGAGAAGTATAGAGATAATAAGGAGGATCTACATGAGATTTTTATTGATTTAGAGAAAGCATATGATAAAGTTCCAAGGTGCTATGGGGAGTTCTACATAAGAAAGGGGTTAATAATACTTATATTCAAGTCATCAAGGATATGTACGCAGGAGATGTTACTTGTGTTCAAAGAAAGGTGGTTTGACCAAGTATTTTCCTATTTCAATTGCATTTCATCAAGGATAAGCCTTAAGCCCATATCTTTTTTGCTTTAGCTATGGATGTTCTCACTAGACATTTGCAAGAGGTTATACCCTGGTGTCTGATTTTTGCTAATGATATTATTCTTGTTGATAAGACTAGAGAGGGAGTTGAAGGTAAACTTGAATTATGGATGTCAACCTTAGATCCTAAAAGCTTTCATTTGAGTAGATCTAAAACTGAATATGTGGAGTGTAATTTAGTATAAAAAAATAGAACTAGTGGGGGATTGTGAGTTTGAGTGATCAAGTCATTAATAAGAGCACACATTTTAAATATTTTGGGTCTATTGTTCAGAGTGATAGTGAAATAGATTGGGCTATTATTAGCGGAATTCAAGTTGGATGGTTGAAGTGGAGGAATGCATCGGCCTTTTTTTTTGTTATAGAAAAGTCCCTCTCAAACTTGAGGGAATTTTCTATATGATTGTAATGAGACCTACAATGCTTTATAGTACAGAATGTTAGCCATTAAAAGAGAAACAAAATATTAAGTTAAGTGTTGTAGAGATGAGGATGCTCAGGTGGATGAGTGGCTTAATTCTTAAAGACAGTATATGAAATGAGCATATGAAATGAGCACATACTTGAAAAGGTTGGAGTAGCTCCAATGGAAAGTAAGATTAAAGAAAGTCTAGATGATTTGGCCACATAAAACGGCGTCCTTTCGATGACTCAGTTAGGAAAGTAGATGTACTAGATTTGATTTATATTAAGAAAGGAAGAGGTGGACCTAAAAGACTTGGTTATAAAATAATAGAAATGACCTCTCTTTATTAGATTTAGATGATAATTTGACACTTAATAGGACACAATGGAAAAAAAATATTCATGTAGATGACCACACATAGTGGGATAAAGGCTTGTTGTTGTTGTTGTACTATTAATTCTAGGTATCAGTTGAATAATAATTAGTCGTAACTAAATCTTTAATGGTTAACATTTTTTTAATTTAGTGTTAAATGAATTTTTTTCATGATTTAAAATTCTTCAACTTAATATACAAATATTGGGGTTTCATGCCATTTGCTCATTAAATGTTCATCTGCAAAAACAATGTGTAAAAGCTTTCATATGGTTCAGGCGTTCTAATTGAAATACATTTAAAGAAGTGATGTGTGTCATCTTAAGATCTAGAGTTTTCTAATATAATTCTATGAAGTAATGCAATCATTATATGAAATCAAAATTTACACTTCACACATCACCAATTTAAACCAATATTTCTCGTTTAATGAAAATCAAAAAACAAGAAAATTTTGAACAGATGATAATTTAATCATCGCAAGATAAAAAACTTCTCATAGAGACTCAAGATCAAAGTAAATCACAAATCAATCAAATATAGCACCACAATAAAAAATTCAAATTATATGAAATTAGACTAATCCATTTACACTGGCAGACCAATAAAAAAAGCATTGAAAAGATAAAAATAAGGAATGAATGCACTAAAATACCACCAATACAAGCCTCACACAAGTATAAGGAGCTAGCTTCCGCTAGAATTTAATAGTCACCAGGTTCACCATGCCAGAAAGATTTCCATCCAACTAGCATGCAAATACATAAAAAATGAAAAAAATTAAATAAAATAATTATAGGAACTAGTTAATCATAGATGATGTAATCCGAACAAGAGAAAGCCTCAAGTTTAATCATAGATGATGTAATCCAAACAATGTTTAATCATAGTACAATCTTAAAATCTAAAGCTTTGTATAAAGCCTCAAAAAAAAATTTATTTACTTATTTAATATTTCTTTTTTTACCAAGGCCTTTAATAAAACATATAATAATAGAATACTAGTATATAGAAAAACAATATTTGGCTACAAGACATTTAAACATTGCATAATATTCAAACACATTGTAGTCACTTTGTTTACAAATTTAAAAATTAAATATGCAATTGATCTCTATATTCGCTTAATGACAAATATTATTCATTAAGTTTAATATCAAGTCATGTAAAGTTAGTAACACTTAACAAAAAATATAAGCAAGTCCCATTAATTTTGTTGTGGCAAATTCAACTCTTCAAGAATTAGATGTATAGTAAAAAAATATAAGCAAGTCCCCTCTGTTTTGCCCCTTCGGTTCCCCTGCCAGCCTAGTTCCTTCCCCCTAGCGTTAGTTGTTGGTTGGCTGTGTCCTTCTAGCCTTTCGGGTGCTGCTCCCTTCAACTGTCTTTTGGCCTTCTGCCTCCCCTTTGCTAATTGGAAATATTGGGCGGCTGATTAGGCTGTTTGGCTCCCTCTCTTCTCCTATATATAGTGGCTGATTTGTGACATTTTACAATAGATTATGAATGATTTTTGGAGCTAAAAACATGAAGGCTTCTTCTTAGATATTTTGAGAGCTATATCCACTTTCTCTTCTCCTCTCTTTGACTTCGTCTCGGGCTTCTTATCTACTTCTTCTCGCCACAAGTATCCACCCCATTTGTATCTTTCTTCTCAAACTACGAAAAGCTGTTTTAGGTGTTTTTATGTTCTAAATTAAAAGTTGTAAAATGTCATTTTGTTTCATTTCTTGTGTTTTTTGAAAGGAATATGAAAGTTCATATGCAATCTAACTACCCTATAGATAATTGATTGCATCAATTTGGTATCAAAGCTTAGGTTTTTTGTGTCTTGCTTTTTTAAGTGTTTAGAAAAATGGAAACACATGAAACCATGGGTGAAAATCAACCAGGTAATCTTGAAGTCCAAATTGCAACCGACTAAGGGTTCCTTCCCAAGGTAGTTTTACCGATCGATTCAAAATGAGTTATACAAACTTCAAATAAAAATGCACTTGTGTACAGAAAAATACGAGAAGAAAAAGAAAATTATACAAGACCAGTTTAAGCAAGAAAGAGAAGTGATCCAGATGAAATATGCAGCTTTGATTCAAGATTTGGATGCGGCGCCTTCGTCTCATCAGGAAAGTTCTTAAGTATTCTCATCAGGAGATGAGCTCTTTCAACCGGGAGAGAATTTGACCTTGATTCAAGATTTGGATGTGGCGCCTTCGTCTCGTCAGGAAAGTTCTTAAGTATTCTCATCCGGAGATGAGCTCTTTCAACCAGGGGAGAATTTGATGTAGGCAAAGGGGGGGAGGGGGGGAGGGTCGATTCATCCCCTCTGTGGCCCTTCGTTTCCTCTGCCAAGCCGGATTCATCCCCTTCTGTTTTGCCCCTTCAGCTCTCCTGCCAGCCCGATTTTTTCCCCCTGGCATTGGCTGTTCGTTGGTTGTGTCCTACTAACCTTTCGGGTGCTGCTCCCTTTGGCTGCCTTTTAGCCTTCTACCTCCCCTTTGTTGATTGGATATATTGGGCGGCTGATTAAATTGCTTGGATCCCTCTCTTCTCCTATATATAGTGGCTGATTTGTGACATCTTAGAAAAGATTATGGATGATTTTGGAGCTAAAAAACTGAGAGTTTCTTCTTGGATAGCTTGCGAGCTATATCCACTTTCTCTTCTCCTCTCTTTGACTTCATCTAAGGCTTCTTATCTACTTTTTCTCGCCGCAAGTGTTCACCCCGCTTGTATCTTTCTTCTCAAACTACGAAAAACAGTTTTAGGTGTTTTTAAGTTCTAAATCTAAAAGTTGTATGGTGTCATTTTGTTTCATTTCTTGTGTTTTTTGAAAGGAAGGCGAAAGTTTATATGCAATCTAGCTACCTTATAGATAATTGATTGCATCAAATTGGGTTCATGATCACTATGATTTGAAGGGCAGGACAAGGGTGCTCATTTTTAATACTTTTGTAATTTGTTGAATGTGTATGTTATCACTAACATACTTTGCAGAAAGAGGATGACAATGATGAAATCGAGATACCAATACCGTATACTTAAAGATGTTTTTCATGATAAATTGCTTTTTACGTAAAATTTTTTATAATTGTAACTAAAGTCAATTGATTTAATGATTTATCATTTTTTAAATATTTTGTAGATTTGTATCAATATTTATGAGAAGATATTAAAGGCTTGGAAAAGTGAATTTATGTAGTATCTAATTAATTATTTCATTAATATATTTTTCATTATCTTCAAATTTTGACAAACTTTCTAATGCTCTTGTTATCAATTGCAGGTGGACGAAGATGAAGAAAGCATGGAGAAATTTTTTTTTTTTACTCTTCCACCACCCAATAACATCAAATGTCTTACCAATTGAACAAATCACCAATCCATCTTCCAGATAATTATCTAAATCTAATTTTGCAGGTTTCCTACTAATTTTTCCAGATACAATTTTTTTTAACAACAAACTCAACACTCTTAATATCATCTTTAACCATCAAATTTAATATGTGGGCACAACAACGAATATGAAAAATCATTCCAACAAAAAATAATTTCTTCTGAATGTCAAATATCACGGTCATTATTAGATGCATTATCAACTAAAAGTGTGATTACTTTACACTTCAAACCCCATTCATTAAGTGACTTATAAAAAGTGTCAACAATTTATGTTGATGTGTGAGGAGATAAGTGAAGAAAACTTAATAGTTAATACACACTTCTACAACTTCCAATTTGAGTTCACATAATGGCCTGTGACTACCATATATGATATTCATTGGTTATTTGACTTCCAAATGTCTGTTGTAAAACTGATTATATTTATGCTTTTTAGTGCATTCTGGAGTTTTTTTTTCTCCTTCTCATAAACTAACAAAACATCGCTATGGGCTATTCTTGAGTATTTCAAAAAATAGGAAGACATTGACTTCAAAACAAGATTAAAGCCAAAATATTCCACAACAGAAAATGGCTTTTCATTGATCAAAATATAGTGTGTTATACTCTGTCTAACTTTAAAATTATCATAAAAGAAGATTGTCAAACTAGCACTCTCTTGTGAGTTGTCAGCAGCAGAATCAATCTCCTTTGGTTGTAAATGAAGTACTTTTTGGTTTCTTATGAAACGAATCCTAATCGCACAACAATCTAGATGACGTCTAAATTGTGTTGTCGACCCTATACTTCCTATGGAAAGGGTCTTCCTACAATGAATGCATTCCCCTTTCTTCTGACCATTAGCAAGTTACACTTCCTTAAACTCATCCCAAACAGATGATGTCTTCTCTTTTTTTTTTTGCAATAGGATTTGCATCTTCATCATGCTTACATGTACCTATAGCATTTTCTTCTACAACCTTATTTCCTCCACCACAGCATCATTTGCTTCTAGACTATCAGATGGCACTTCATCAAATGTATTAAGAATTAGGAATGAAAACACAAAAACCTAAGGTTGCAGGGATAGAAATTCTTCAAAAATATTTACAAAGAATAAATTAAACACCACAAGATTTACTCAACATGATTCAAAGATTTAATTAGAAGACCACAAAATTTTGGAAAACAAAATTTTTGACTTGTTTTAGGAGTTTTTATTTAATTAGACAGCTTTAATAGTCAAATTTGTGATTTGTCTATGAAAAATATTGTATTTTTTTAGAAGTTGATTCAGTTGATTATATATAAATTTAGATCAATGTTAATATCTAAAGAAAAAAAAATTTAATCATAAATTTGAGCTATATTCGAGTTTTTTTTTAAGGTGATTGAAAGCTAAGTTATAATATTTTCTAAGAAATACGAAACTGTAGTTTGTAAGAAAACGTTTAGCAACCATGTTGTCTGTGAAAACTCTGTTTTATGTGTACGATCTAAATCGTGATAGATTTTTTTATTCCTGACCAACCTCACACAATATTTTGAAGAAATTTTGTTTAGGATTACGTTTTAACCGTCCAAGAAAACACAATCGGCATTCGGCATTCCGCAGATATGCCTTTCCACTTCAGTCGAAAGGAAAAAAACTCAGCAAAAAAAATGAAAAATAGATGATATAAAGGAGAAATTTCTTTACAATATACCCATCAAGAGGCTTCACGAACATAACTGATGCCTGAGCACAGGAAGAACGCCTCTAAACGCCAACTCGCCAAGTCCTCTCCTGCTCGAGCACAGGAAAAACTTCAGCCAAAAAAAAAATGAAGAGTGAAGAGCGATTGATAGAACTCCCAACGGACCTAACCGGAGCAGCTAGCAGCTCGAGCACCGGAGGAACGAAGGCAAGAAGCGATGCCCTAGGCGCTCGCAAACGGACGCCGCACTCTACCTCACGAACGAACGAAGAAAGATGTAGACCGGCTCTTCATGTCGTTTCGTTGAACTAGTTAAAATGACTGTTTATTAAATTCACATGATTTTTTTTTAATTGCATGATAAAAAAATTAACCGAAAAAAAAATTGAGAGAAAATTACTTTTTTAATTCATTAAATTTCATTTAAAATAATAATTTCATTTTAGCAATTTAATGCTATAAATAATTTTAAAATCAAATTACCAATGAAAAAATTGATTATGTAATATATTTGATCAGAGTAAATTTCATTTGTGATTTTTTTTTTATAATGATCGTATTCAATATGAAACATTGTTTTTTTTACATGAGATAAGCTTTGAAAATTTCTATCTTTTATCCCAATGATTTATATTTAAATTTAAAAAAATAAAAAAATAGTTTATAAACTTTAGTTTTCTTTTTTAATAGAGGAGCTCAGGAGCAAGTATAACTATACCTTAATGAACATTACAATAATTATTATAATAACAAATTTTATAATTTATAGCCCTACAAGAAAAACTTGGATAAATATTTCAACTTTTTGCATTTAAATTTTTTAGAGAGAAAAATAAGTTGTGTTTACATATTTGAATCAAAAATAAATCTTTTAATTAAAATTTAATTGATTCTTAGATAGTAAATGCTCTATGATTTTCAATTATTTTAATAATCAATCAAAAAAAGTATTTTTATTCAGAAAGAAGTGATTTTTATAAAGAGGTTATTTATGATTCAGTTATTTCTAATCTAATGTAAAATATTATTGATACGTCGTTAAAAAATTATCTTGATAATACGTGAATCTCGATGCAAAATCAAGTTAGAAACTTTAAAAATTAATTCGGAGACCATCTCAACACTGATTTCAGCAAACTTACAGTTAAATTGAGCGTCTCGAAAATACGAACCCAACGACAACAAACTCTACTC